GGAATTTTTTTTAAACTTTTCAAAAAAAATTTCAACCGGCATCCGTTGGAATTCGGTTGGAATATTTTTTAAAAAAATTTCCAAAAAAAATTCCAACCGGCATCCGTTGGAATTCCGTTGGAATTTTTTTAAAAAATTTCCAAAAAAATTTCCAACCGGCATCCGTTGGAAATTCCGTTGGAATTGTTTCTAACAAACATCCGTTGGAACTCCGTTAAAAATTTGCAACCGATTTTTCCAACGTTAATCCGTTGAAAATTTCCAACGGATCTCCGTTGGAAATACCGTTGGAAATTTCCAACCCAATTTTTCAATTGAATACGTTGAAAATTCCGTTAAAAATTTCCAACGGGTGTTTCCAACGGATACCCGTTGAAAATTTTCAACGGAATTTTAACGGAAATCGTCGTTGAAACGCCGTTGAAAACCGTTGAAAATCCGTTGGAAATTTTCCAACGGACAAATCCGTTGGAAAATTCGTTGGAATTCGATGATTTTTTTGTAGTGATGAGAGAGATCTGATTGATGTGTAGATATGATACTACACAGTCAATGATAATTTAAAGGAATTGATTGATCTAGTAATTCCAACAAAATGTATCTATCTTTTCAGTTGCGTATTACGAAAAAACTCCAAAGTTAATAGTGTTCGCTATAGAATAGTTTTAGGATGGGTGACCTCATGGAAAGTATTTTCCGAGATGTGTGCTAGTGAAAACAAAATATGCTAAAAGATCTTGTGTTGGTATGTGAGAATTGTTTCAACGCTTGTAACGGCCACGAGGAGTTACAAATGATATTAGAGTCGGTACTCTCCTATTACAATGTCGTTCGAGGACGAATCAAATGGAAACTAGTGGATCTGTAACATCCCGATCTATGATAAGGGTGGAGAGTGATTGTCGATGCAAGTGAAATGAACAAAGAGTGGAAAGCTCCCCCTATATCACTAGTCAAGAGGGATAGATGATGAACGGAACGTACCAGAATAAGAGGGATTCGAGAACTGTATATATGTATGAGACTACACAATCAATGATAATTTAAATAAATTGATTGAACTACTCATATCAAAATGATCTATTTTCTCAGTTGCCTATCACGAGAAAACTCCAAAGTTAAGTGCGTTTGCTTTGAAATAGTCTTAAGATGAGTGACATCTTTTATTTCTCGCGATGTGTGTGTGAGAGAGAACAAAACACACTAAAAAATCTCTTGATGATATGTGAAGAAAGTTTCAACCTCTGTAACGGTCGCGAGACGTTACACGAAACTTGGACAATATGAACACCAATGTACACTCGGTGACACAAGTGAACATGTACACGGTGGGACGAGACTTGGATGGTTCTGGACGTACACAAACACACACGGCACGACCTTGGATACACCTAGGACGTGCATGGATGGTTAGGGATATGCATGGAATGGATGGAAATGCATAGGATCAAGCAAATATGGCAAGACTAGAATTGATGAGTGATGTGGCTGGAATTACCATACTTATATATCAATCACATGGTCGTTGGAGTGCTTATGGAAGCAAATATTCACCAACATCAATCAAGCTGCTAAAACTCAAGATCATTCCATATTTGTTTATATTAGATTCTATTTTCCCTAGGGATCCAAAAATTTGGCCAAACCCGGTTCAAGTTTTGCATTATCTAACTCTAAGTCTAGATTCATTGAAAAGTCACTTGAATCATACTTCAAACTCTTAGATTCTCATATTTCGTGGCTGTCTGAGTAAATGATAAAACAAACCAATTAAG